AAAACCCTTGCTGACAATCACATCTCACTATTATTTCCCCTCGTAATGCAAGAGTCTTGACCTTACCCATCTGTGATACTGAAATATGGTCACATATTTATACCCACACGTCTACCCTTTCACTTGCAAAATGATTAAGAAGTCCAAGCTTTTCCTAGGTTTCCCCTCTCCAAATACCCTCTAAAACTCCCAGGGAGGCTTAAGCCAAATGAATCAGCCCTCCCTGCCAGCTACTGCCTGCTGGAAAAGTAAGATCTCACAAATGTTGAGAAGAGCAGACTCCACGGTCCTCTGATGTTGAGAAGTTCTGGTCCATTTGTCTTGGGTGTCTCCGGCTGTAGGGCCTCCCAGAAGTCCCTCACCCTGCTGCAGCCAAGCTTTGGCGGTCCTACAAAGATGGCCCCTGATTAGGAATCACCACCTGCTGATGGGCTTGAGTGTAATTATTCAATTTGCAAAATAAAACAGTAAAATGTATAAGGTTTGTTAACAGAAATTTTGTCAGCTGTCTTCCATCTTGACGTAGTTCCATGCTAATATTTCTCAAAAGTCGTCATTAGAGTAACAAGAGGCAAATGTCATGAGGATCCTTATTTTATAGTCTTGGTGGCTTTGTTCCATTCATGGTAAAGCTTTTCTAAATAAAGTAGAAATTATAATATTCACTGCAAAGACATGAAACGTTGCAACTGACAGTAAGTTCGGGCATAATGTCTAAACTCCTAATTTTGTAGCTGAGAAAATATTTACCTGTCATGTCATGTAGCAGTGGTCCACATCTTGAGCCCAGGCATGAGGATACCAGTTCAGAAACCATCTCCCCAAATCTCCAGCCAATCCTATTTTGAAGACAGTATTGAAGAGTCTTTCGTGCTTGAGTTACCCCATTGTTAAAGGAGCGTGGCTTTCCAAAATTCACGTTTTGAAGTGGGATGGAGTGATGATGAAGGGGAGAGGTGGGAAGAGATACTCTGGTTCTTCTTTGGATGGCTGATGGTGGTGCCATAATTCTTTCTCAGAATGAATGAAAACTTCCTCAGAACCATTGGCTCCACTCTCAGCAATAACGCCACTGTATTCATATGATGGCTCACAGTTGACAAGCATGTGCGCATGCATTCCTCTACTTGATAACTGCAACATGCTTGCAAGTGTGATCATATAGCTACCATGTATTTGTAGAAAAGAACCTAAAGCCAAAGAAGGTGAATTGACTTGCTTAGTTTCTTTCAGATCATACATGATAGAGCTGGCTTCCAATTCAAATACTTTGGTTCTGAGTATGGTACTCTTTCTAGTAGAAAGAAGTGCAGCTTTCTTTTTCACGCCATATTTGCCCATTGACTGCTACTTTGATCTCAGTCACTTCCCTTGCTCTGTACTGTACAACATGGGACATTTCCCAGGTTCCCTTGGTCCTTGGCCCCTTGGTGGGCTCAGTTAGTGGGAGACACTTATAGGAGGCGAAGAGGAAGGGAGAAGCCAGCAGAATCCTCTACCTCTCTAAGCTTCCAGTGGCATCCCTGGGCTGTGGTCTCTGTGGCTCTGTCTCCTGCCAGAGAGGCCTTTCTTTATTGGATCCAGATCTCCCTGGGCCTCTGGGCTCTGGCAATATCACCTCCTTCTATTGGCCCTCCAGCCCCAGGAGAGGTCAATGATTCCCTAATTTCTGGGGTGCTTTGTTATACCTGGGTTATTTTCTCTGTCCTTCCATAATCTCTGTATTTGATTCCCAATATTAAATTCTCTTCATCTGAAAGACCTACAGCAGATCCTAACAGATAAAATATATGAGTTTCTTTGAGTTTCCTTAAAAAACTGCTTATAAAGGTAACTAGCACCTTCATTGGACAAGCCTTGGCCACAGAGGGAGTTTGCCAGACATTTTATGGGCATGTATTTTGATTCTTGGCTTCAAAGAAACGACCTTAATAGTGCCATTTTTGGTATCCTTGGTTATCTGAAGCTATACGAAATTTACCAAGGTGAAGTTTCCTTCACCTTCCCCCACCTGTCCCCTGTCTGTCCCCAAGAAAGAGATGGGTGTCTTTTGAAATGGGTACCTCAGCCACCAAGGCCTAATGTCAGGTAATTACACCATAGCTGGTGATGTTGAATACCTTTTTATGTGCTTATTGACCACACAATATATATACATATATATAATATATAAAATATATAAAAATATTTTATACACAATATATAAAATATGTATGTATATATATGTATATATATGTTTTGAGAAATGTCAATGCAAATCCTATGCCCATTTTTGAATTGTGTTGTTTGGGTTTTTTGTTGTTGTTGGGTAATCCACATTTTTTTTTTAAAGATTTTATTTATTTATTTGACAGAGATCACAAGTAGGCAAAGAGGCAGGCAGAGAGAGAAGAAGGGAAGCAGACTCCCCGCTGAGCAGAGAGCCCAATGTGGGGTTCGATCCCAGAACCCTGGGATCATGACCTACGCCGAAGGCAGAGGCTTTAACCCACTGAGCCACCCAGGTGCCCCGGTAATCCACATTTTAACCAAGTTTCCACGTGATGCTGATTGGAGAACCCCACACTGAGGATCACTGTTTTAGATAAGGTTATATACCTCAAGTGATTAAATACCAGCCTCATTTGTGATACAGAAGTTGGATGAAATTTGCATGGTTCCTGGTTTTAATTACTTCTTAGGTATCAGGCTTTTGATAATTCATCTTCTGTGGATTTTCTGGGGTTTTAATATATTCTCTTGTTCACCGTGCAGCAACAGAGGAAGTCAAGGCAGACCTGAAATTTAAAAATCCCAGTACTTTTTCACCTAACACCTTCAACCCCCCCAGAGATCGTTATCTGGATGTGTTGTAACACCCCGGAAATACACATCTTACTAAAAGGGACAGACAGGTTCTTACTACTGACCTAAAGATTTAGGAAACTGTTTGGATATCAGCATGAACCCTCAAAACTCCTGACCAGTAGGAGTCATTTTATACACATGGCTTTTTTAAAGAAAGAATAATTATCTAGAAGAACTCTTGCTTATTAGACTAGGTTGGAAAAATTATCATTGGCCATGTGAATATGTAATTACCAAGATTTATTTGTCAAGTACTGAACATAGGTAAATTTCCTGCACTATATTGAATTTGAGAAGTTAATTAGTATGACTATTAAGCAAAACCCAGAGATCATTATATATGAAATATTTCTCTATAATTCTAATAAACTGATTTCAAAACCTATTAGGCTTGAAATTTCACTCAGTAGTCCCCAAACATTTTTCCCTTTGGTTAATGGATCTCTGCACTTATCCTTCTCACTGAAAATATACTAGGACTATTTAAAAGGTTTATAACAGTTCTTGCTGGACATACATAATTAAGTTTATTTTCTGTGAAAATCTGTGGAAATGTCCTTTGGAATTAATGGAAATGTACAATTTGTCTTATTATTGTTACTTAGTATTTATGTAGCACTTCATATTTCTAAAGTACTCTATAATCACTAGTTCCTCTTGAACTATTTTTATGTCATTTATTATAATGGTCTTTTGATACAATATATGATTTACTTCTGTCATGCCTTTTGATGTATTTCAAGAGAAGAATAGAATGAGATGGGCTTTTATAATATCCTGGGTTGGGGGTCCCCAAGATCCCCCCCCAGACTTGATGGTTCACTGGGGAGACCCACAGGATTCAATATCTAGGCACACTGACAACTATGATTTATTACACTAAAAGGATGTAAAGCACAATTAGCCAAGGGAAAAGGTGTGTGAGATGAAGTCTGTGGGAGACCAGATGCAGGTTTCCAAGGGTCCTCTCCCAGTGGATTGTGCAGAATCCACATAATTCTTCCAACAACAAGTTGTGACAATGAATGTTGTCTATCAAGGAAGCTCATTAGAGACTTACTGCCCGAGGTTTTTACCGAGAGCTGATCACAGAGGCATTCGTTGCCTGGCATGTCCCATATATCCAGGCCGTGAGAAAGAAAGCAGGCATTCAGCATTGTGATGATTAATTTTATGTGTCAATGTGGTTGGGCCACAGTGCCCAAATATTTGGTCAAACATCTGATGTTTCTGTGAGGGTGTTTTGTTTGCGATTTATGTTTAAACTGGTGGACTTTGAGTAAAGCAGACTATTCCCCATAACATTGGTGGGTCTTGTCTAGTCACTTGAAGGCCAGGGCAAAGGACAAAAAGAAAAGACTGACTGCTCCCAAGCAAAAAGAAATTCTGCCAGCAGATTTTCTTTGAACTTGAATTGCAACATTGGCTCTTTCTGGATCTCAGGCCTATGGTCCACCCTGCAGATATGCAAATTTTGGGACTTGCCAGCTTCCATAATCATGGAAGTCAATTCCTTAAAGTAAATCTTTTTTTCTCTCTCTTTCTCTGTCTCTATCATATCTCATATCGTACCTCATATATATCTCATATGTATCATATGTTGTATCTCTATATATGCATCTATCTATATATATATCCTATTGGTTTTGTTTCTCTGTAGAACCCTAATACAAGCATACACCATATTGTTTGTACAGTTGAGACACAGTGAGCCCTTCTGCTTGCATAGTGGTGGGAACACTCCGGAAATATAAATTCCCAGATGCCAGCCAAGGGCTAATCTTGCAGCAGGGCCTTTCCAAGAATAGAAGTTCAGGCCTTCTGGGTTAACTCTTTTCTCATATACCCCCACCTCATATACTTTATATAAAAAGAGACAAAACAAACGAACAAAAAAGACAAAAAACAAAAAGAAAAGGGTGGGGGAGGTTTTCTTGTGTCTTTGTTGGATCCTTGTAAATGTATGCCTTGTTTAAAAACTAGGGGGTGGGGGAGAATTTCTTGTGTCCACAGGACTGGAGGAACGTTCTTGTAACATATAAAGCCATAAACCAGCTAAAGCATTCCCCATACTTGTCTCCTGTTTCCATTTAGCTTACCATCAGACTGCATCATTCAAGTAAAGAAGTTGGTATCAGGCCACTGCCAGGAAAATGGTGGATGGGAAGGAGGGAGAGGAGAAGCCCGAGAAACCGCAGCGAGCTGGAGCCGCTGGAGAACCTGAAGAAGAAGTAGAAAAAACTGTCAAAATTAAGACTATTTCTTCCAGTCATGGAGGGGAAAGTTCCAGTCACAGCGCTGAGATGCAATCAGCTGAAGAAGAAGCTGCGGGCCTCCCAAGAAAACCTACAAAGATCTCCAAGTTGGGATTTGCCATAGGTAGACGACAAAGCAAGCCTCAGCCATATCCATCAAACTTGGATCAAGGAAGCCTAAAGAACTGTTCCAACGCTTGCTCTAAAAACCGTTTCAGTTGCAGCAGGTTTTAATGAAGATGAAGCTAGTAAGCCAGAGGAAATGTCTCCAGAAGCAAAGATAAGGATGAAGAATATTGGAAGGGATACACCAATGTCAGCAGCACCAAACTCCTTCAGTAAAGGAAAGCATGGTTTTTCTGATAACCGGAAGCTCTGAGAGCAAAATATAAAATCTCACCTTGGATATTTTCCATGACCAAGACAATGAAATGATGTGTTTTGAAATTGGGGTGTGGGGTGGGTGTAAAGTTAAAAGGGAACAGTTTACTTTTTTAAAGAATGGTATAAGACTATCTTTGGAGCTGTCTTTTTTTTTTTTTTTTAAAGATTGAGGCGTATGCTAATAAATGAGGGTTGAAATTAGAAGTAATTTGTGTTTTATATACAGATTTCAAGACATTTGCCAATTTTGTAGTTTCATGTGGTTCGTTTCCAAAGGTTACAGAATAATGGGAATTATTCTGTATTATACAGAATACATTATTCTGTAATATACAGAATATATTATTCTGTATTATACAGAATACATTATTCTGTATTATACAGAATACATTATTCTGTATTATACAGAATACATTATTCTGTATTATACAGAATACATTATTCTGTATTATACAGAATACATTATTCTGTA